TTTAAGTTTATTGGTTAAAAACTTTAGATAAAATTTTATAGTCTGTATTTAAAAGTGAAATTGGCCTGTAGCTCTTTAACAATGTCTTATCTGTGTTATCTTTTGGAATAAGAGTGATATAAGACATGTTGAAACTGGATGGAAGTTCTTTTTTGTTATATGATTCAGAGTAAACTTTCAGTAAAAGGGGACCTAAAAGATGAAGAAAACTTTGATAAAATTCAGTAGTAATGCCATCGGGACCAGGTGTTTTTTTTTTTTTTTGCATCCCTTGAACAGCCTGTGTTAAGTCTGCTAATGATACAGTTTCGTCTAGTGTTTGTTTCTGTTCCTCTGTAACCTGTTTCGCGAAATTCATGAAACTATCTTGAACATGAGGCTGTGTTTTTTCCTCTGTGTAAAGGTCTTTATAATACTCTTCAAAGGCTAATGCTATTTGTGGTGGTTCTACTTGCGTATTTCCGTTTCTGTCTACTATTTGTACTATTTGCCTGCTGCGTTGTATATTCTGTTCTATCGCTAGATATTGCTTACTGGGTATTTCCTGTGTTATAGTATTTAATTTTGTTCGCAGCAAAGCCCCATTAAACCGATGGTGTCTGTGGAGTTCTAATTCTTCTTGTAATGTGGTAATGTGTGGTGCGTGTCTGTCTGTCTGCATTACAAGCTTGATCGCGTTTACCAGTATCTTTTCTTGCTTTAGTTTTTCTCTGTGTATTGCTGCTGCAAGTGTTTGAGTCCTCTCGCGTATAGTTTTTTTAAGTGATTCCCAGAGCTGTGAGACATGTCCCTCGAGTATATCACTGGTGTATGTTTCAATTAGTTGTGTCATGTCATTGACATATTCTTGATTTTTTTTTAAAGTGTGTTGTTAAACTTCCAGTGAGGAGATCTTCTTGAATGTGTAGTTGTCTGTACAGTGTTTATTGATGCAATTATGGCCTTATGGTCAGTGAAATCTAGTGTCTCTTGTAGGTGTTTAACTCCTGTTATATGATGTGTGGATGGTGCGTAAATTCTATCTAAACGTGCTGCTCTGTTATGTGCACTGTTTTTATGTGTAGTTTCTGTTCCGTCTGGATGTTTGTGCCTGTATGTGTCCATTAGATCATGAATGTCTAAAAATGGTCTTGTAATGTGTCTAACTGATGTGCATTTTCCCCTGTGATATTTCTAATCTGCATTCTAACATCACCCCCTATCACATCTTTTCTCCCCAAGCACACAAATTAAAATCTCCCCCTAATATAACATTTTTTGACCCCGATATTGAGTGGGAAAGTAAACTGTCGAGGTCCTCAAAATGCTGGCTGCTGTCTATAATCTGGAGGTGCATGTATGTTGACAACAGTATACCTATGTGTGCCATTCCCCACCTGCACTATAGCTATTCTACCCTGGCTATCCCTGTTTTTGTCTAGAATCTGCCACCTATCTGATGTCTGTACTATTGCTGTGCCTAGACCGACCTGTTGTGTACTAAGACTAAAACATGCGTGTCTCAGTCCAAGGCTCATTGTTATGTATGAGGCATAGTCATCTGAGTGAATGTTTGTTTCTTGAATAAGTAGCAGATCTGGTTTGTGTTTGTGGATGAGCGATATGAGGTTACTAAGTTTTGTCCTCATACCGCGAATGTTAATACTGAGTATCCTTATGTCAGCCGCCATTTTGGTTGCTGCGTGGGTATTGTTTGTGTTCTTGTTTCTAATACATTCCTGTGATCGTCGTATATTACTCTACACAATAGTCACTTTTTTGTCGTTGGACAGTCACCCATAAGATGTGGCGTAAAATCTGAAAAACTCTTTCGCCGTAGTGGCTTGTTTCCATTGTTCTTTTTGTCCAAGTCTACACTGTTTTTGCTTACTCCGCGCACCTCAGAGGGTGTGGGATAGTCGGTTTTGTAGTTTGGTAGGGTTGTAGTGTCTTGTGGGGCTTCAGTATTCGTGCACTGGTACCCTGTGAGTATTTCGCTGAAGGATCGTCTCCTTTTTTTTTTTTTTTTTTTTGTTGACATGGAGATTGTCTATGTCTTCTCCCTGATGACACACACAAGGCTTTGGGATGTTTGCATGTTTTTGAGAAGGCGGGTAGAAATTTGCTCGTTGGACCTGGTGTTGTTCCTTTTGAACCATACTTGGCTTCGCTGGGGTCTGTATCTTCTGGGCTGGAGCTCGTTGTGCTGGTTTGTGGTTTTTCTGTGGAGGTCGTTTATTTGGACATTGATTTGTCCAGTGTGAGTCCTCTTCACAAATTGTACAAGCAGTACGTCGACCATGCATAGTAATCATCAGGCAGTGGAGGTTTCCCTCCTCCCCATCTATCTCCATTTCTACGTAGTGTGGAAGGGGGTCTGTTGGGTTGCATAGCAGTAACCACCTGTCAGTGCTATTCTTCAGTTTATAGACTTCTCCGTTAGCGTCTCCAGTAAAATCTGCAGCTATTTTCTGCACCTCTTCCTGCTTCGCTGTAGTCGGCATCCAGTTAATTAAAGCCTTCGTTTTCTGTTTTCCGTAGTGCTCAATGACGATGGAAACTTTAGGGTCTTGCAGCTCATGTCTCATCCCATGCAGACGTTCAAAATGAGCCGGTTTCGCTTCTGATGTCAAGGTAGCATACCATATTTTATGGTCTTGAAAGCGGTAGATAGATGAGATACCATTACCGATAACCCCGCACGGCCCCATCAACAAACTGGCCACAAACGCGTGATTCACACGACCTATTTGTTGGCCCGACACAGTAATTACCAAGGTATCCGTGCTATGGATCGATCCACCTTCAAATGTTTTACTTGCATTAATCTTGACACGTTTAACAATATTTTGGCTTGCCATTTTCTTTACTTACTTTGTAAATCACTGTGAGACATTTTAAAAGTTAAACCACAAATGTTATCCACGAAAAGCGTTCGAAGCGTAAAGTCCCCCTCTGTGTTTTCGCCAAGCCAAAAATGTCCGTTTACCAATCTGGGAGCTTATAAACGAGATATAATAACTTTTCTGCTGCTCAATTCTTTGGCGGTATTTCTAATTTCGTAAGATTTTAATGGTATTTAAAAACTGATGACACTAAAAAAAAGATGTTATTTGTGATTTTACTTTAAAATCTTTTGCAGACTTTCATAAAGGTAAAATCTTTGGTTTTAAAATTTATTAATTTTTTCTGAATTAATGTCTATTATTTCAAAAGGTTGGAAATTGTTTACTTTTATTCTTAGTTTTGAAATTTAGTTCCCTTGTAAAAAATTACAATCATTGTTTGTTTCCCTTTATATATATATATATATATATATATATATATATATATATATATATATATATATATATAAATACTTTACCGAATATTCGCTTCGTCTTCGCTTCGGGGCCGAATAGTGGACCAAATGACTATTCGGTATTCGGCCGAATAGTTGCGGTCGGGCCAAAAACGAATAGTGGTTACCTGACACTCATTTCTGCATACACTGCGATGGACTGAAATAATTCACTCTTTAACACAATAGTTGCTGTTTTCTAAGTTTGTAGTAGCAGGAAAACTGCGACCCGGTTGCCTGGTACAGCAGCTGGCAAGGTCTTGCCTGCTGACTCGACCGAGGCATTACAGCATAGGTTATAAAACTGGGTGCGTATGCCAGGGGTGCCGGGGCGAAATTTAAGAAAAGTCGGCTATAAATTGTAACATTATTAAAGAAGACATAAAGATACTTGAGATACTTTCCTCACCAATGTCGAAAAGAGCACAGGCAACATCTGCATTTTATAAAATGAAGAACATCTTATGCAATATATCTTTGCCATTGAAGGTTACAAAAATAATTCTTGCTTGCTACTATTTTTCTCCTATTTTTCCAGTTTTAACATATGGCTGTAAGTCCATCTCTAGGCTTCAGATATGTAGTTTTACAGAACAATATCAGTTTGTGTGCTGACACACCTCCATGACATGCAACGACTGTCAAGAATCTTCTTTCGTTGTCTTTTTCTATCTCTCCTTCCACAAATCTTTCCAGTGGTCACCACATGTTCCATTTTCACTCTTTCTATATGATGACTGTCTTCTTCTGATGTCTGCGATTAGTTGTCTTCGGGCTCCCGCCTCTTTCAAAACCTAGTGGTTGCTTTTTTTAAGCTGTCCAAGGTATTTTAAGCATTGTTCTGCAAAACCACATCTCTGAGGCCTCAAAAAATTGTTTTGCCTGGCTACCGATTGTCCAGGACTCATAGCCATATGTTAAAACTGGATGTATGTAGCAAGCAAGAAAACGATATATTGCACAAGATGTTTCTTTTTTTTTTTTTAAATATAAAATGCATTTTTAGCCTGTCCTATTTTGCTTTTTTATTTTAGTAATGCATCTTTCATCTGATTTTATCCATGTGCCAAATTCGCATTTAAATCATTTTTCGTTCAGGCGTTTCGTTCAATGTAATTTAAATGCACCTTTATATTCTCGTTTGCAATATCTTCAATTTGATTTGGGAAAAGACACACCGAAAGAACAAAAAAATGCATGCTTTCTCTTTGTCTCTCTCTCTCTCTCTCTCTCTCTCTCTCTCTCTCTCTCTCTCTCTCTCTCTCACACACACACACACACACACACACACACACACACACACACAGATACACTTTCAAGTTTCTTCATGCCTTCTTTAACACAACAGTAGCGATGCCTAAATCTTTCGTAGCGGGGAAAACGGCAACCCGTTTGCGTGGTAACAGCGCCTGACTCCGAGGCATTACAGCAGAGGTTCTAAAACTGGGTGCGTATGACAGGGGTGCCGCGGCGAAAATCAAGAAAAGTCGGCTATAAATTGTGCCATTATTAATGAGAGAGTTATTTCAGTCCATCGCAGTGTATGCAGAAATCACTATTCGTATTCGGCCCGACCGACACTATTCGGCTGAATACCGAATAGCTAGTAGGTCCACTATTCGGCCCCGAAGCGAATATTCGGTACAGCCCTACTTTTTACGGCACAGTTCCTTACCATGAGTACCCTTCGTCTTCAGAAGTGCCTTGTGGCCAAGGTGCTTAAATGTGGGGAAAACAAAATCTGGTTGGATCCAAACGAAGCAAATGACATTGCCAATGCCAACTCTCGTCAAAACATTCGAAAACTTGTAAAGGATGGTTTGATCATCCGCAAGCCAGTAAAGTTCACTCTCGTGCTAGAGTCCACACAAATGCAGAGGCTTGTCGCAAAAGACGTCATATGGGACATGGCAAGAGAAAAGGCACCGCCAATGCCCGTATGCCAACTAAGATTCTGTGGATCCGACGTATGAGAGTTCTGCGCAGGTTGTTGAGGAAGTACAGGGAGGCTAAGAAGATTGACAAGCATTTGTACCACGAGCTGTCCATGAAGTGCAAAGGTAATGGTTTCAAAAAGAGGCTCGTCGCAGACGTGAAGAGCGCATTGCACAAAAAAAGAAAAGAGTTGTTGAAAAAAGAATTGAAGTACCCACAAAATAAATAATACATTAAAGGTTATTTCTATCAGTTGAAAAAAATATTGGTATTAGTGATCACGGCCGACTCTATTTATAAATATAGATGGGCGTGTTAGTGATCTATGATTTGAGAGATCCGATACCAGTGCTCGAAGCGCTCAGTCACACCTTCTCCTGCGTCAATACGCTTGATAGGAGTTGCCGGGAGCAGAATCCCGTTGCTGTTATGGGTACGGTGTGAGTTTCGGAGCTTCCTGTGAGGGAAAACAAGAACAAACTCACTCCCTACCCAAAAACATACCGCAAGAGTCGACTAAGTGAAGCTTCCTGTGAAGTCGGAATTCGTCTTCCTGAGAGGCAAGGAACCAACAGTCTGTTTACATATGAGTCAGATCTGTAAAACAGATGGGTACGCAACACTGTGGTTCTGGAACAGGACTACAGTCCAGAAGTGGTCGAACACCACAACAGTTGGCCTGAGTTTACAGCCAGTGAACTTGAACCAAGAAGAATCAGTCTGCTGCTGGTACCTTCTTCTTCTTCTTCTTCTTCTTCGTTGGTCGTTTCATTGATGCCAGATTGTAACACAGTGTCGTGGTTTTCTGTATTTGTCTTGCACTTCTCAGGTTGCTTGAGTGATGGATTTGACTGGTACCATCAGAATTATAAATGTGTGCTGGTGGCTAAAGATGGGGGCAGGGTGTGTATGGGAATGTTCCGAGTGCTATGAATTCGGTTATTAACTTAGTCCAGTCCATCTGGACTATAACTGGGACACACTACATATAGTTTTTTTTTGGGGGGGGGGTGGAAGGGGGGGGGGGTGGCCCTCTCCAAGTTCTGGTTATTTATGCTTGTCAGTTACCTGGGGTTAGTTAGTAAGTTAGTCGACAGATTATCCTCATTGCATGTCGAACCACTCAGTCCATAACTGCTCACATCCTCTCCTCAGTAAATCTCGCAGCGTGCAGCGGCTAACGACACCAGTTCTGTGTTGGTTTATTATTATTCTTTGGCTACCCGAGTAGTGTTCTTGTTTGGCGACACCCCGTTCAACATGTTAATCTTGCATATATTATATTGTATTTGATTGTAAGAAAATATCTTGTTAAGTTTAACATGTTGCAAATGTCATTTTTTTTTTAATGTAAACGTATTTTTGACATTATTAAGAAGCAGATTTAAACATACACAAAAGTATAATTTGACATACGACCAGCTAGACACCAGACATTCATGAGTTCAAAGTTCAAAGTTCACTTCCCCCCTAAAGAGTATATCACCAAAATGTCTGCTCCGGTGAAACCTTGGGAGAGACCAGGGACTAATTATCAGAATAATTCTTCTTTTCCTGTTAACAGTATGTCAGCGTAAGTAAACTTGAACAACGATTGTTGTGTATTGTCCTGGACAACAGCAGTGATATTCAGCAGAGGCAGAATTTTTTAGAAACTGTAACTTGACACAAACACAGCGAGCTTACAATACTAATATATACTGCTTGGTGACTGATTTGTGTATGTGTGTGTCTGCGTTCGCCATTAAAAGACCTATTGTCCTGTTGAGGTTTCCAACTAGGCTGCGATTTCTTCAGCAAAAATCTTTCAAATTTAAAAAATGCCTCCTCTTCCCCCCTCCAAAAAAAAAAAACCACACAACTGAAATAGATAGGATCTCTCTTTGCCCAATCATAAATATTCAAGACAATAATACTTATAGTACTTATACTACTTACTTGACTATTTCAGAAGATAATGAGTTCTCTCCTAGAACAAGGTGTCCTGCACTGTTGCCAATTATTTCAACTAGCCAACCCACCCGATTTAAGTTTAAAGCAAACTCCTAAATGCTATAATTGAAATTGATCGCTTTTTATGGGGAATGCTTTTTAGTGTGCAGAGGATCTGTTCTTTTTATTTTTTTATTTTTTGTTTTCTTTCTCTAAAATTGGATGGACTGCAAAACTCACACGAAAGAGAGGGTGGTGAGGAGGGTAATTTTAATATGGCTCTCCTCTGAATAACGGTCCCAGATTATCTACGCAGAAAGTAAACCCTAACAGAGCCTCACTCATATATAAAATTTGCATTTCTTTTCTGGCGAATCAACCGCGTCAAAAGTAGGATTGATTGCCCTCGACATTTTCACAAAACGCAACGTATTTTTTTTTAACGACGATTAAACGGCTGCAAAACTAGGATTAACTTACTTACTTACTTACTTACTTAGTCGCTCCTCTTCTACCTTGGGGTGTAGAGGTTTGCCAGAGAGATCGCCAGACGTCTCTATCAGCAGTTTTCTTTCTGGCTTTGTTCCATTCCAGTCCTCTGTCAGTCAGGGACTGTCGGATGTTGTCTTCCCAGCGCACCCTGGGTCGTCCCGGAGGTCTGGTTCCCTGGTTCTTAGCCTCCCATGCTTGCCATGGTGGCCGATTTTCTCCCATTCTGCACACATGTCCAATCCATCGTAACTGTGACTGATCCACTCGGGTTAGTAAGGGCTGGGTATCAAGATCTTGACGTATTGTCTGATTGCGGACTTTGTCCCTTCTTGTCACTTGGACCACCTTTCTCAGGTATCTCATTTCCGAGGCCTGCAGCTGGCTTCTGTGAGCTGTTGTCATTGCCCATGACTCACACCCATAGGTCAGGACTGGTACATAGGTAGAGCGGTAAACAGCCATTTTCGTCCTCTTGCCAATTTCTCTTTTGCTAAGAAACCCTCGGTTTATGGCCTGGAAGAGTCTCCCAGCAGCTGCTTTTCGTGTAGCCAGCTCAGTCTTAATGCCTCCATTTTGGTCTAATACAACTCCAAGGTATTTGAACTGGTTAACCTGCTCCAACGCATACTGACCCATCATGATCTGGTGTTTCTTCTCCTCTCTTGAGATCACCATGGTTTTAGTTTTGGAGACACTGATGGTCATCCCTTTCTTTTCAAGCTCTTCCTTCCAGACAAGTAAGTTGTACTGAAGGTGTGCCTCTGATTTAGCTATCAGGGCCACATCGTCTGCAAAAGCCAGCTCTGATATACAGATTGGTCTCATCTTCCAGTACCCTACAGAGTACTTCTTTGTCTTCTCCTTACAGGTCTTGATGACATCATCCATCATAAGAATGAAGAGGTAAGGTGAGAGAATATCACCTTGTCTAACACCGCTGGTGGTCTTAAATTCTTCTGACTTTTGGTCTGCTGTTCTTACATAATTTCTGCACTTTTTGTAGAAACTCTGTATTGCACTGATCAGGGGTGCTGGGATGTTTTTCCCTGCCAAGCAGTCCCAGAGCTTGTTCCAGGGTACCTTGTCAAATGCCTTTTCCAGATCCAAAAAACATAAGTGAATCTCACTCTTATATTCCAGGGCTTTTTCACTCATCTGTCTCAGTGTGAAGATAAGGTCTTGAGTACTTCGGTTTGCTCTGAAGCCGCACTGGGCCTCGTCCAGCTGTGGCTCTACCAGACTTCTAAGTCTCTGCTCAAGAATTCTAGAGTAACTTTTACCGGGGATGCTGAGGAGGGATATGCCTCTGTGGTTTTCACATTGTCTGTTATCACCTTTTTTTAAATATAAGTATAATTATGGCAATCTCCCAATCTTTTGGTATAGTTTTGCTACACCAGGCTGCCTGGAGAACCTTCAGTAGAAGGCGCTCACCTTCGACTCCCATATATTTGACCATCTCTGGTGTTATACCATCATGACCTGCTGCTTTTCCCAGCTTAATCTTCTCAATAGCTGCCTTCAATTCTTCCATCCTGATGTTATCTTCCACATGATTGAATTCCTTCTCAGCAGTGAGGTCCATTATTTCTGGGTCATGACTTCCCTCAGCGCCGAGGAGCTCTGAGAAGTATTCTTTCCATCTGCCCATGATATCATTTGTAGAAGTAAGCAGAGCCCCTTCCTTGTCTTTTATGAATTTAAGTGGGCACTCTTTCTCCTTCCTCATGTTCTTAAGGGTCTTGTAGAACAGTTTTTGGTTTTCTCTTGCAATATGTGGCACTCAGAACAGAGACCAAAAATATTGTGCTTAAAGCAAAACAGAAATCATGGGAAGAGTTTGGAGAAAAGTTGGAAAAGAATGCAAAAAATACTAGGATTAACTACAGACGAAAAATTAGCGACACGCAAGAATACTCCCGATAGTGCTATGCTACGGCAGGGCCTCAGTTATATGTAAGTTGCGGACTACTTTTTACCGACTATAGTGCCACCTCCGAGAGTATCCCCCGCACTGATGCGCGCGGCGCGGAAGGGGCTAAACTAAATGGCTGGGACTCACGAGCAGCAGCTACCGCTTCTTCTGCAGCTTCCTCCATTGTATTTGCTCGTGAGTCCTAGCCATCTAGTTTAGCTTCTTCCGTGCTGTGTGTAGCGGTGCGGGGGATACTCTTGGAGGTGGCACTATAGTCGCCGGAAAAAAATCATGAGCTACTTCTTCCGTCGCAACTGCCAGCGTGGTCGCATTCGCCATGGTCAAGATGTGGTCGGGATAGTGGAGTCCCATAGTGGCGGCTGCTGGTTTGAAGTTGTCCTGAGGCGACATGCGTGTAGATTAAAACGCGCATTACTGATTATGCCATGTTTGCATCTTATTCGGCTGTTGCAATGGCGGGTAGCTTGAAAGAACAGATATTTGCGCACTGTTTGCAACTTCTGTGCCACAATTTTTACATATAAAGGATTTAACTGTCGATAAGTAGTAGACTTCGCCCTTTTCCTCATACTTTTCGTTCCTTATTTTTCCGAGCTACAACCTTTTTAAATGTTTGTAGGGCTGGACGTAATGAGGCTCTGTTAGGGTTTACTTTCTGCATAGATAATTTGGGACCGTTATTCAGAGGAGAGCCTTTAATATTAATATTACAGAGCTTAGAAACCAAGCATTTATCATGCTTAACAATGTGTGGAAGTCAGGTTATCACATTTTCAACTTCACAGTCGGTGGGTTCCCCCATAGTTACTCTGTTTCTATGCCAGCGAAAACTGCAAAAAATGCCTATCACTATCCCAAGTGAAAACAAAAATTGGCCCAGACTACTGTCTTAGTAAATCCAATGGCACACACACATCTTCTTCTTCTTCTTCGCATTCGCTGGCTGTAAACTCCGGTGGAAAGTTCTGATTGTCGTCCACTTCTGGACTACAGTTTTGTTCGAGAACCTGAGTGTTGCGTGTGCATTCGTTTGACAGATCTGACTAATTTGTATGCAGACTGTTGGTTCCTTGCCTCTCAGGCAGATGCACTCTGACTTCAAAGGAAGCTCCCAATTAGTCGACTCTTATGACATGCTTTTTGGGTAGGCAGTGGGTCTATTCTTGTTTTCCCTATAATAGGATCCTGGAACCCACAGGGGGAAGAAATACACATTAAATGCACAAGGCAGCCATTAGGAGAGCAGCACAGTCAGGCACTATAAATATAGTTCATCATCGATGGAAGCAGCAGCTACAACAAATAAATACTTGCCCACACACTTAATCGCATAAGGCACAACCAGTTCTCTGACAACAGGCCACTCACCCTTTTCTAAAAATGCAGTTCACAACACAAACTGTGTGGGGCACAGTAAGAAAGCATTCCAAATGAAATCCGCAACTCAACATGCACTCATCCTAGAAGCTGGGTGACGAAACTGTGTTCTTTCAATCCACTCATGGAGAAAAATGCAATGGCTACAGTTGTGAAAAGCAAAAAATTACCACTACTAAAAACACTAAACCTGCATATCTGCCATGTTGACAGCGGGACTTCAAAGACAAAGCTCAGAAGAAAATACAATAGCAGCATCTTTGGAATACGGTTACACAATAGTGAATGTTAGAAAATAGCAGTGGGTATTATATACAAACTAGAGATGTTTCAAAATAAGAAGAATCCTGTGAAAATTGTGGCCAAACAAGGTCACAAATAAAGAACTGAGAAGGAAAAAAAAAAACAATTAATGTCTAGCAAACAGTCTCAAGAAAAGATATCAAACCAATCAAAAAAAGAATCAGCAGTCTACTTCACAATATCACAAACAATAAGTGAAAGTTGCAGCTGGAGAGTCTTCATCAGCACTTACATAAATCTACAGTGAACACAAATACACAAAATCACTTAACTGATGAATCTACAGTAGAAGTCACATTTCTGTCTGGCCAGTAGAATGACTGGTGAAAACAGTATAAGAAGAAGAAGATGGCTTGGACAGGTTTGTTGTATAATGCCACATGATACTTTGGCAAGGAAAGCTCTGGGAAGGATGGCAGATAGAGAAAAAAGAGATTTATGACCTACGGAAACTTGGAGAACAGTAGAAATTAAAAACAAAGCAGTGTAAACTGACATGGGACACACTATAGGCAGAAAAGCAGCAGGCTGGTACCAGTGGGGATCACTTGTAAGTTAGTAAGTAAACGTAAAGGACCCTTTTCCAAGCCTTTAGGCATAAAAGGCTAGACCTATATTTTATACACCAATCGGCACAAGATGGGTGATGTGATAGCGTAACGCCGGCTGCCTTTACTTCCCGGGACTGCACCCGGTACCCACTCAAGGCTGGGTCGACCTGGGAGCCAAGGTCATTTTTTTAAAAAGTTCAGCTCCACCAGAAAGCAAACCCACGACCTTGGAGATCACTTGTGAATGCCTTAAATGTCAACAATGACTTGAAGAAGATCTAGATAGATTTATAGACTAGGTTTTGTATTCTTCTGTTTAGTTAAATCTTTATAGATTTCATAATCAAGTTGCAAATGCATATGTGTCATTTAATTTTTTTTTTTTTTTTTTTTTTTTGAATTTTAAAAGCTAATAATAGAAATGATCCAATAAAACTGAGACTGTAACCTTTTGTCATTGGCAGGCATCTTTTGTCTATCCTGAAACTATTGTTGTTAGTCTATGAGTACGGATGTGACTTTATAAGGGCGATACGGGTCCAGAACGATCTAGGACAGTGAGGGCAGGGAACTATGTCGGTAGATAAAAGGTCTGTTATACGGGTCTTTCTAGCATGTCTTCGCTGTTCAGATGCTGTTTTCCTAGATGCCTCACAAGTAGCTACACCGCTTTGAATAGACGTTTGCCAAAAAGCCCAGTCTTGTGCAGCAGCCTTCCAAATGTCAGGGTTTATACTAAAGGCTTTCAATGATACTTTTAGTGTTTCCTTGAAGTGGGTTTTTTTCTGACCACCATTGAAGCATCTACCTTCTTGTATCTCACCATTAAAGATATTTTTTGGGAACTGATGGTCTGGCAAATGGACAAGGTCCCCTGGTCATCAAATCTACATTCTGTGAAGTAATAGGGGATTTGTAATGGCTGCACCATGTCTTACCCTGGTGTAACTTGCAGTCTATTCATGTTTCCCACAAATTTAGGGCCCTGGAACCCCCTCAGAATGAGGAAGGATGTGCATTCACAGGCTGTAAACTCCAGTGGAAGGTCCTGGTTATTTGTCAAGTTCTAGACTTTGGCTTTGTTCAAGGACCCGGGTTTTGAGTGTGCACCCATTTTTCAGATGTGGCCTAATTGTATGCAGACTGTTGGTTCCCTTTCCTATCAGACAGATGCACTCTGACTCCAAAGGAATTCCCCCCCCCCCCCCATCTAGTCAACTCTTACGACACGCTTGTTGTAGAGGCAGTGGGTTTATTCTTGTTTTCCCCACAGTGGAGCTCCGCAACCCACATTGGATATGATTCTTGTTTTAATTTCTGCAGTTAGTTAGTTAGTTAGTTGCATATCCTTTACAGGACGTTGCAGAACCAACCCCAACAGCCCCTGGCTGTTGTGTGGTTTTTCAAGGCAAATTTACATCCAGTAGTTTGCCATTGCTTTCTGGACGGTCGGCTTTCTTGATACCACTGTTGAAACCAACGCAAGGCGCATGGCCCGCAGCTGGGATCGAACCCGGCCTTAAGAAGCGTTCGCATTGACTTAGCCACAGAGCCAACATTTCTACAGAACTGTTAAAAAAAATTTTTTTTAATAATATATAGGTCACCGCTTGATGATCGCATCCCGACATCTTTGAGCAATTCCGCAACTGCCTTACCAGTGTCCACTCCACCACAAGTTCCTCCCAGAGTCTCACAGCTTAACACCGTCAATAACAGATTTGGCACTGGCATGGGATATGGAGGAGGGTTTGGCAACTATGGCAGCTATGGTGGATATGGAGGTTATTCAAGCCCATTAGGGTATGGTGGAATGTACAATAGTCCCTATTCCAGTTATGGAGGAGGTTACGGGTACAACAGGACAGGGGATGTGAGAAGTACATTTGCACTTCAGGCGGAGGAGAGTTCCAGACCTGCATTTGAATCCATTGAGAGCATTGTTTTTGCGGTAAGTAAAACGTGTACAGTCACTCCATCAGCAAGTCCTATACAGAACGTCGTTGCTCTCTTCACGGCACGCCTGAAAGTATTCCTTTTCCTAGCCAGCTCTCCAGCCCCATGTGCTTTCAGTGGCAAAGCTTCTTCAATGTCTTGTATCCATCTTCGCGGTGGTTGACCCCTGCCTCTGGCTCTGCTTCCATTATTTTGAAGTGACAGGGCTTTCTGTAGTTCACCATCTGGTGGCAGTCCTGACACATGTCCAGACCACTTGATCTGCTGTCTCTTGATCTAGTTTAATACTGGTTCAGTCCCACTGGGTGGTGAATTGATACATGACAAGGCAGGTGTGGTCAAGGTTTTTTGGGAACAAGCAACGGAATCAGTAGAGAAACAAGATTATTATGGCCTGGAGAGAATGAGGCACCTGTGTGTAACCAGAGGGTCAAGCCGGCTCACCACACTCAGAGGAAAGGCAAGATGGACTTTTAACTAGATTGTGACCGGTACCATCAGTATTGGAACTCTGCACTGGCTGCTGAAGATGAGGACGGAGCATGCATGGGAATGCCCCGAGTGCTGTGATGTACATTCTTGACTCAACTCAACTCAACTGTCCCAGCGTCTTTACTGATATGGGTATTTCTGTTCCAGTCTCTTCTAGCTATGTTTAGGTTTCACTAAAATGTAAAAGACCCTTTTCATATCTTTGGCACATCAGACATATAGGGATAGACCTATATTTTTATAGACCATTTGGCACTCAGTGGGTGATGTGGTTAAACATGAGCTGGCCACCTATACTTCCCAGGTCATTACCCTTGGTATGCCTGAGCCGGTCATGAACAGTCTGTCACAGAAGTCTAGCCATTTTGAAACTTCCCACTCCACTCTTACACTTGTTGACAAAACATGACAGCATGCATCATCATACAGGAACTTTCATTCTACGAATTCCTATAGGTTTCACCCCTTCACTGATTAAAAAAAATGGATGACAGAATGCTGCTCCTCTTTGATGCATGTCAAGAGTGGGGTGGCCATCTTTAAACTCTCGTAACCTCACCGTCTTCGTCTGCTCATCTGTGTTTAATCAGTTCATGACTCTTAAGACCTAGTAGCACATGAGGCTTCAGAGAGGACTTTCTATGCTCTCCTGTCCTGTGCAATCTTCAGTGCAGTTTTCCATGTCAGAAATGCAGCACACAGGTCACTTTCCATCGTTCATCTCCATTTTGTTTTTGGGTGCCCCTTTTTTCTCTTTCCCTCTGGTATCCATGTGAGAGCTGTTTTGGCATGTACATCAGGATTTATTCTCATAATGTGGCCAAGCCATTTCCATCTTCTCTTGGTGATCATACTGTCTAGAGTTTCTTGGTTTTTGACTTGAAGTAGTTTAGTGTTTGAGATTGTATCTGGCCAGAAAATTTTGATAATTCCATGCAGACATGTTTGGCGGAAGGTGGATAGCTTGTGTGCATTCTTTTCCGTGTTTAATAATGCTGTTTGAATGTGTCTCCTAACCTATTTTTTTTTTTTCCTGACAGGTGAATTCTGTGGGAATGATGCTGGACTCCACATTTCAAGCTGTGTATAATTCTTTCAGAGCTGTCATAGGTGTTGCTGACAATTTCACACGATTGAAGTCCCAGCTCATGCAAGTCTTCTCTGCCCTTGCCTTCATCAGAACTCTAAAATACCTGTTCAGGTAATGATGTTGTGTGCATGTAGCACCATTATTTTGGTCCACAGACATGAGGGACTGTTGAGACAATTGTGGTGTGTATAAGGAGGTACCAGGTCGACCCAGCCTTGAGTGGGTACCAACGTACAGTCCTGGAAGGTAAAGGCTGTCAGTGTGATACTGATCACATCATCCACTCTATGTTGATTGGTGTATAAAATATAGGTCTAGCCGTATATGTGCAATATGCCTGAAGACGTGAAAAAGGGTTCTCTACTAATTTTTTGTTGTTGTTGCTAGGGCACTGTGGCTTAGAGCCTAATGAAATCGTTTCACAGTGCAATCCTCAACATTTATCGGGTTTGATTCCCTCTGCGGCTGGTTCAGAAAAAGACTGTTGTTATAGCCTTAAGACAATGGTTAGTCCCTGTGTTGGTTCTGGGGCCTTTTTTTTTAGAAGGAAAACAGAATAGGTCAGTTGTCCCCAACTCAGATAAGGCAACTGAATTTCAAAACATGTCTGTGTTGGGCTGAAAGGTGTAAACCCCAGCATGATGTGCCAGCTGCTCTTTTAAGGGTGAATGTGGAAATTGAAGATAGCGGTATGAGATTCACATTAGTAAGAGATTGGGGCCTCACCACATGATATTCACACTCAGCAGTGGATACATTGCAGCTAACCAGTTTTTTTCTTAGAGATGGCACAGTAAACGTTTGTCACTTTGGTTCCTCTAGATCAGTGGCTCTCAACCTTTAATGCTGCGACCGGCTATCCTCCGAATAACAGTCCTAAATTATCGAGGCGGAAAATATACCCTAACAGGGCCTCAGTCACGTGTTAATTGTGCACTTCCGTGGACTATAACGCCACCGCCGAATTGCAAACTTCCGGGGGACTTCCGCCACCGCCGAGAGTATCCCCCACGCCACTCATGTGGCGTGGATTGGGGCTAAACTAGGTGGCTACGGACTCAGAGCAAATAAAAGTGGCATGGGGGATACTCTCGGTGGTGGTGGAAGTCGCCGGAAGTGCGCAATTTAAGACAACGGAAGTGCGTACTTGACAAGTGACTGAGGCCCTGTTAGGATATATTTTCCGCCTCGATAATTTAGGACCGTTATTCAGAGGATAGCCCTGCGACCCATTAATACAGTTCCCTCATGTTGTGGCTACCCCCAAATAATTATTTTTCTTCATAACTTCAATAAATATATGTTTTCTGATGGTCTTAGGCGACCTTTGTGAAATGGTCATGTGACCATCAGGTTGAGAACCACTGCTCTAGATGTTTTTAGATCTTTTATTTATCAAAAAAATGATCTTCCATTGCAGAAAACTCCTGGAGTTCTTACGCATGCGCCCAAGAGGAGAAGCAGAAAAATTGTGGAGAGAAGCTTTTGAAGAGGCTGCTTTCACTGCTGCAGCATCACCTGCAGGTTACTCTAGAAGGAGTACATGGCCCATTCTGATGTTTTTTGGTATTATCATGGGAGGCCCATATTTGATATGGCGATTGATTTCAGCCTTCTCAAGTTCTCCAGGTACAAATTTAAATATTTTTAACTGATTCTGTACCAGGCAACCTTGTATTTATTTATTTCAGCTGCTGTGATAAAAGTTTCTGAACATGTTATGATCCAACTTGTGGTTGCACAACCCACTGTGCCTCAGTTTCTTCTTTAACTCGTTTTGTAGGGTTGTTAATTTACGTGATCAAACCCAGACATTTATTCGATTATTTAACTTCTTGAAATAGAAAAGGCGACCTTTTAACACTTCTGGCTATGTTTGCTTCTGTGCAGCGTTTAGAAGGTCAGGATATGAATATATTTACTAAAAATATCATTAAGGGGTTTTTCTCACGAACCACATTTTTTTTCTTAAAGTTTGTTGATGTCATAATTTTCCTGTAGTCTCACTGACAGAGGCATGAGTCTTCCAATACATCTGAGCCTTTAAAGACAGCAGAGAAAACTTGTTCTTTTTCTGACATCCTATAACATCATTTAGTTCTCTTAGATATATATATTTTTTTTACACCTCAGTTAATGTTTTTCTTGAATGTCACTGAAATATTGGACTCGCTCATTTTTATGTTTTACTTCTTTCACATTTAACACATAACACTTCATGCTTACACAAGAGGATCTCAGTGCAATGCACGTAGCTCCCTAACATTGGCAAGAATCTAAAGACAGCAAAACCACAGAAAAATCACTTCATGTTAGTTGTTTCTTTTAAAACCAACAGAATCAATTTGTGGTAAACGACAGTGGCCACACTGCCATTTTGTTTGACGTCATCGTTGCTATGCAGTGTGACTTTCAGCAATGGGCCGTCAGTTGACAGGAGAGAAACCATCAATGCCATGCGAGAGACTAAATGCTGTGAGGCTTCCAGTTTTATAGATAATAATTTTCACCGAATAGTCTGCATACTTGGGTGTACCAATTGGAACAGCGAGACAGGAAAACTTTATGGGAGCCATTTATCATTACATCAACCAGAACAGAGTTGGAGTTGTTAGCCTAAATACCCTAAAAACGCTTGGAGACATACTCAGGAGGAGATACGGAGCTCTTACAGTCATGTCCAGTGTGGGATGGAGATGATCTTTAAATGTACAATGAACGATTGTTTCACATTATTTCTAATTTTGTCTCTTGTATCATTTTATTTATGGTGTAAATTTGCCTTATTATTTATGTACAAGTTAAATTAACACGAGTAGGGTTATATACGGAGAAATAGTGTTCTCCTCGAGTCAGTTGTTTATTCTACGGTGCATTTATACCTGTAAGTTTTCCTGCCAGCCGTATGTTTATGGTTAAAATCCGCATTGGGTCTGATTTATTCAAAACTTACCTTGACCCCCTGCCTAAAATGGGTACTAGGTGATGCTATGGGAAGTAAAAGCACCCAGCATGATGTTGACATCACTAATCGAGTGCCAGTTGATCTAGCACTATATGCCTGAATACCAAAGCATGAAAAGGGTCCTTTTGGGTTATATTTCTTCAATTATATAAAAAAGGTTAAAGTCAAGAAAATCAGCTTCATAACACCAGGATTTATAGCAGTCCCTATCCACTGAATGGCAAGCCGTCAGTTGAGAGTGTTGCACGAAGTACAAACTCAGTAGCTCCAGCGATGATCCCCAAGGGTCTGCACAAACATTTTTACAAATGAACTGAACATCACAGCCTAACAATGAACCGACAACCTTCAGAAAGTAAGGCAGACAACTTCACAGAGGACACCCCCATATTAAGAAAAAGCGCACACACACACACACACACACAAAAACTAAGTCGCAGTCAGCACAGATGTTTTGGACATATCTGTGTTAGAAACACCTTTTCCCTTGTAAAGCTTTTTTGTTCAATTATATGCTTTGCTGCACCTCTTTGATTTCTGTTACCGATGTAGTTGCCATTACATTTAATCTGATTTGAAATTTTTTCCAGTTGTGAATGGCTGGGCAACGGGAGAGGATGATCACTTTGTGGCAAGGGCAAACTTCAGTTTTCAAGGTCAGAGTACAGAGGAACTGTCATTTTCAGCAGGGCAGAATATCAAGGTTGCGCCAAAAGGTAAAGAGTTAGACAGCTGATATTTGTAAATTCTTAGTTTACTGATTTAGGAAACAACATCATGTTGTACCGGGCCTACCCATGGATGTTCCGACTCCCGCAGCAAATGTCTTGTTCTCTCATATGACCCTCCTTGCCAGATCGACACCTATTTCCTAATTCACACATTTTTACATATTCTTCTTTGCGTTCACCAGCTGTAAACTCTGGCGAAAAGTTCTGGTTGTTCATCCCCTTCTGGACTGCAGTCCTGTTCCAGAACCTGACTGTTGTGTGTGCAACCGTTTTACAGATCTGACTCATTTGTATCCAGACTGCTGGCTCCTTGCCTTTCAGGCAGATGCACTCCGACTTCGAAGGAAGCTCCAAATTAGTCGACTCTTACTACAGGCTTTTGGGTAGGCAGTGGGTCTATTCTTGTTTGAGTGTTTTATAGTTATCGCTTTTGTAGCCAGAAAATCTGCTCTCTTCTTTTCTTGCACACCTGCAGACGGTATAAGTAAATCCTTGTATCCCTGTAATGTTGATGCTTGCTTATGGCCACTTCATATTTTAATATCATCATCAGGTGAATTGCCGACTGGCGTGGGCTATCATGCCTCTCCATAATCTCCTGCAGCATGTTTCAGTTCGTGTGCCGACACACCTCCATGCCATGCAACAAGACTGTCAAGAATCTTCTCTCGTTGTCTTCCTCTATCCCTCTTTCCACAAATCTTTCCAGTGGTTACAGCATGTTCTATTTTCCCTCTTCTCATAACATGGCCAAAAAATGATGACTGTCTTCTTCTGATGTCTGTGATAAGTTGTCTTCGGGCTCCCGCCTCTTTCAAAACCTCTTGGTTTCTCCTTTTGGCTGTCCAAGGTATTCTAAGCATACTTCTGTAAAACCACATGTCTGAGGCCTCAAGAAATTGTTTGGCCTGCCTACCGATTGTCCAGGATTCACATTAATATAGGCATGTATAAATAGGTGGGAAAATGACCTTGGCTCCCTTTAGTGGGTACCGGGTGCAGTCCCAGGAAAAAAAGGCGGCCGGCGTGATGCTGACCACATCACCCATCCTGTGCTGATTGGTCTATAAAATACAGGTCTAGCCCTATACGCCTAAAGGCGTGGAAAAGGGTCTTTACTTTTTTTTTAAACTTATAAACGACCACTTTGTAACACTATTATATGACAGAAGCTGGCAATGGGCACACCTGGAGGTAAAACTCACAGAGAACCACCAGACAGGCACTGAAATCAGAAACAAATGGATTGAGGAAATTGAGGATATCCAAGAGAAATCCTGAGATGGATGATGTTGAGAGAGAGGCTAAGGACACTGAACTAGATTCAGTCCGTGATATTGATAGGACTGCAGGTAAGAAGGCCTGGACTGTGAGCCGTGATGTAAAATGCCACAACAAGATGATGAGCAATCAGTTGTGAAGGTGAAAATGTTTCTGAAATAGGCATATCCAAAACATCAGTTGGAGACATCTTATGTTTTTTAACCACTTCAATCTTCTTTGTTCCCCGTGTGAGTTCCGGGGCCCTACTATGGAAAAAACAAGAATAGACCCACTGCCTACCCAAAAGCATGTCGTAAGAGTCGACTAATTGGGAGCTTCCTTCGAAGTCGGAGTTCATCTGCCTGAGAGGCAAGGAACCAACAGTCTGCATACAGATATGTCAAATGGATGCACACGCAACATTCAGGTTCTGAAACAGGACTGCAGTCCAGAAGTGGACGAACAACCAGAACTTTCCACTTTTGCACATCCATTTTACAAATCTGACTTATTTGTATGCAGACTGTTGGTTCCTCGCCTCTCAGGCAGAAGCCGACTTCGAAGGACACACCACTAATAAGTTTTTTTTTAAATCACATTCTTGGTAGGTGCTAAGTGGCTCTATTCTTTTCCCCTCACAACCCCCTTCTTAATAAAAACTATTTTGTAGTTTGTATAATTTATAACTTTTTCTTCTGTTTCTCAGAACTTCAGCCACGTGTCCGAGGGTGGCTGTTAGCATCTGTTGATGGACAGAAAACTGGCATGATTCCAGCCAATTATGTGACAGTTTTGGGGAAAAGAAGAGGAACAAAAAACACAGGCTCGACCTACCCATCTGCTTTAGTTCAGACAGACAGCAGTCTGTCTCTTGCTCAAGAGGCACAGTTTCCCTCATCAGCAACCAGACAGATGGTGACAGTCCCGGAAGATGATCTCGAATCTGTATTTGGTGCCAACTCAAACTCCTCTATGCACTCTGCACAAAGAGCATCTCACATTCCTCAAGATTCAAGCAACCAAGAAGCTGCTGACATTCTGAATGACGCAGATATTTGAAAATAACTTCATTTCAAAATACGGTTAAGGTAACGTTAATCTCCCCATGCCTCGCCTATATACACTATGTCACTTCTGATTAGTAGTTGCTGAACCTGTCACCTTAGCAAAAGGTTATGGGGGTGTTCCGCGATGACATTGATATCGCATGTATATTTCAGCATGCCAGTGCTTTTAACACTCCAAAAACATGGAGCACTGACCCTAACGCAACCCCTCTACGAAACTGCTGCAACCTGTGTCACAGACATCCTGTTACTGAGAATAAAAAGGTAAATGGAAGACAACACAGAAAGCAAACATTAGAGGGGGACACACTCGTAACCTTCAGGAAAGATGACTCGCCCAAAAAACTTGTGAATGAAAAGTGACCTATTCTGTTTGGTGAGATTTGCGTAAAGTTTACCCAGAATACATTTCGCAAGCTGTCAGAAGCTTTTCGAAAGTGATAATTGGAAAAGGATCAAAGCTTGAAGATGATTTAATTCTAAGTACTGACACATGTAATTCTACGTATGCAAAGTTCTTTCACAGATACTACTGCGTGCCTTTGTTCTACAGCAGTGAGGCAAACAGTGGCATGATTTTACATTTTACAACTATTCTGATTGCTCCAAAAGTAATGGTTGTGGCAAATTATGAGCTTTATGAACTTTACATAGGGAGAAAAAAAAAACATAAACGTCAGTATTTTTCAGAGGTGGAGGACACACAACGAAATGTGTTTTCAAAACAGAGTGGTATTTTTGCTGTGTATGAACACTTAAAGGACACCCTGTAGATCTAGCACCATATGCCAGGTCATTTGCCTTTGCAGTTACTTTTATGTGTGAAAATATGCTTCCATTAAGTGTCATAAGCAGGCAGTTGACAGAAACAGAACAATATAACAAGAATGTCTTTGCACTGGAAACCACAGGGGCATAGAAAAAACACATGGCAAAGGGAGAGTGCAGTTGAAAAGATGGGGAGAGCTGCATGGGATAGCGAAGGATAGAATCACTTGGCATGAGGTGGTTGAGGGCATGTTCTTCATTGGAGAGTTGGAAAGGCAGAAAAAGAAGTATGGGAAACTTAAAACAGTATAACAAGAATGTCTTGGCACTGGAAACCACAGGGGAATAGAAAAAAAAAACACATGAAGAAGAGAGCTGGAGAGTGAAGTTAGAAAGATGGGGGAGAGCTGTGTGCGATAGCGAAGGATAGAATCACTTGGCGTGAGTTGATTGAGGGCCTGCTCTCCATTGGGGGGGGGGGGGGAGGGAGGGGGGTAGAAAAGCAGAAGAAGAAGTAGGAAAGCAGTAGAGTTTGAGAATACGTCATACTGGCTATGTTTCTTGCACCACAAAAATTGTGTGTATTAACAAAAACGTACAGGTTGTTCTGGGGCAGATGCTGCAGCGGGAGTATCAAGTGAGAGAGATTTAATGTGTGATGCCGTTGCTTTTATGTAAGGTGAAGTTTTGCAGATCCCCTAAGATGGGCCTGTCTGGAGAGCTCCCAGTCGAACTACATAAAAATAATGTATGCTTTCATACTAATGGTAATCTATCCTTAGTTCAGATTTTATACACCCATTCTGAAAAACATTCAGCTCACAAATATTCTTGCTTTATAAAGAACAATGTTGCTGTCTCCAGTGGACTTTGGCTGTAGTGTTACCACTATGGGAATATTACGTGGTGAGAGCCCAGTCTTGTCCATGGTGCGATTCTCATACAACTGTCTGAAAGCTTTGAGAGCATAGTTTTTCTAAACTGCCCAGTGCAGGAAGAATCCTCATAAATGTTGAAGATTGCAATGTGAAACAATTTCACTAAACTATGAGCCACAGCTGCATAACTGTTATTGCCACTTGACTGTTTCTTTACCCAATTAACTGTTGCCAGTGCCACTTATGTATTTGAATTGTATATTGATGCAGTAAGACTTGACTCAAAACTACTGTGGCGTAGTTGCTAGACGACGCCTGCAGAGCCGGACTTATTTCAAAAATGACCTTGACTCCCAGGTCAACTCAGCTTTGAGTGGGTATGGGGTGCAGTCCTGGGAAGTTAAGGTGGCCGGCGTGATGCAGACCACATCACCCATTTTATGTCTATTGGTCTATACAAATATAGGTCTAGCCCTTCACGCCCTTAAGGCATGGAAAAGGGACCTTTATTTTTATGATATGCGTATAACTAGCGGCAGCCCTGTTCTGGAATTTTCTATGCAGATGACGCGGTCCTTCTTTTTTAACAGTGTAAATAAATTAGAACATTTAATCGTGTCTGCCGAAACACAGTGAAGATCAGAACCTGTTGTTGAATTTAAAGAAAACAAAACTTATGTCCACAAACAAACTGCCGATCACTAGCCATGTCCATTGCATCATAGAAATTGTGTGTATTATCAATAAACCTACAGGCTGTTCTGGCCCGGTTCGCTAGCGTAGTTGGCTAAACTGGATTGGGCAGTGACCGATGACGAACTCCTTGTGGTCTAGGTTCATGCCCGGGGGTAGTCAGAAAAGTCACATTTCTCCCAGATTTACGGTATTTTTCATGGAATCAAGGCCGAAGGGTTGCGATATCCATAATACTGAGCCAAAAGGTTAACAACCCAAGGCTTCTGGATACTAAAAGAAAAAAACAGGCTGTTCTGGGACAGATACAGCAGCGGGAGTATCAAGTGATAGAGATTTAACATGCGAGAGGGCCATAACAAGACACATCCTTGACATACTATAAAAGTCCCTTTGTATGTCTGTGGCGCATATGAGGCTAAATTCACATTATTTTATAGCCCAGTCGCCCCTCAGTGGGTGATGTGGTCGAAATCAAGCCAACCGTGTTTACTTCCCAGGACTTTACCTGGTAAGCATTTCAGTCTCGTCAACCCAGGAGCCAAGGCTCCATGCAGATATGAACCCATGACCCTCGGATCCACAAGTGAGCGTCTAGTCACTGCATCACATCAGCTCCCTGACATATTGTGTGTGTGGGTTAAGCAATTTGCTTAATCAATAAATAGAGCTAGGGACTCCAGGTAGATAGTATGAATTTATAAGTTGTCTTGAACAAGGCACTAGGAAATGGCTAAGCTGAGGCTTCAGTGTTCATCATTTGCTAAAGGGTGTCATCCTGGTATGTCTCAGATATCACATGCATGCCTGGTTTCTTGGTTAGGGATCTAGTCTTCATCAGTTAGACACACACACACACACAAAATTCCTAGGGATAGGGCTCATATTTCTTGGAATCTCAATCCTTACATTAGTAAAGACCACTGAAAGAGAGGTTTATAGACAGACATATGGCTGGCCCTGATCCTAATGACAGCATTAACCATCTAACAAGAAGGGACCAGAACACAACATACTCCACTCAGTGGACATCTAAACAGCCACAACACTCCCCAGAGTGCCAGCTATGTAACTACCTCTATGAAACTGTTGAACACCATCTCTTTAAGTGCCCAAAACTCAGTGAGACAAGAAGAACGCTACTCCCTCCGAGACCAGACAAGTGGAACACCTTGTACGAAGGAAAAGAGCTTGTGAAAACATGCAAATTCCACTACATGGCATTGGGCCAAAGGGTAAAAGCTCATGCACTGCTGGATCGATAACAACATTAGTAAAGATCCCTTTTCACGCCCTCAGGCGCATCGGGCATATGGTAAGAGCACCCGTATTTTTACAGACCAATCGGCACTTGGTGGGTAATGTGGTCAGCATTACTCTGGCCACCTTTACTTCCCCAGGTCATACATCCTGGTACCCATTTTAGGCTGGCTCAACCTGCGATGCCCAATACCATGATAAAAATCCATGCAGCCAGCTGTGGGTTTTAATTGTGGTACATTGAAATTACAAGTCGGACTCGCAACGCCTAAGCCATGGAAGCCGCTCATTTCTTACATAATCACACTCATTCACACAAAAAGTCCATAATACTAGGTATTATGGACTCTTTTGATAACAAAAAGGGATCCTTGGTTAAAAATAAAATACAAAATAAGCAGTGTCAAAAGAGAGAGGACAGGTCTGTCTGGCCGGTTGGCATTCTGCTAGAAACCAAGCTGTATGGATCAGTGATGGTTATGGGAAACCCTTTCTAACGGAAGCTAATTCCTGCATAAATATCACCATGGCAGTGCAGCTCACTGCAATGACATGTGGTTCAGCTTCCATTGACCGTGCCTGTGTTTACAGTAAGGTTCCTTTTCCATGCCTGTAGGCATATAGGGCAAGACCAATCAGCACAAGATGGGTGATGTGGTCAGCATCACGCTGGCTGCCTTTACTTCCCTATACCCACTCAAGGCTGGGTCGACCTAGGAGCCAAAGTCATTTTTTCAAAAATGCTACCACCAGGTAGCAAAGTCACAACTTTCCGATTCGCACTCAAGCGTCTAGCCGGTACGCCACGACGACTCCCCTGTGTTTATAGTGTCAGTAATAAATGTTACTGTAACAGCAATTAACTTTAAATAGGACAGGGTTTGTTGAAGCTGATGCAGGAATGTGCCACAGGTGCATACTGTGGCTTGGTCTGTACACAAATACTTATTGTAATACAGTAGTATATATAGTAAAAGTAGGGCCGAGTTTTTCAACCACGGCTACCACACATGTAGTAGAAACTAAAGCGGAGGGAACACAACAACAGCCTTCCAGTCATCACCAGGAATATTCTTTGAATGTTTCAACTGCAGGTGGATATTGCAAGACAATTGTTATTTTTCCTGCTTCTACTTCATAGTCATCTCAATCATTGCAATATGTTTAATCAATGCCCAAAGTGCATCCAAGGCTCTTACTATCCACTGCTCATAAACTTGACCGTCAAATCTACAGCCCTCCCACCGCAAGTAGTAGTCTAGTAGAATCCTAGCACTTCACCCCAGGCTGTTACGTGTAGATTACAATTCACACTCGGCAAACCCCCCCCCCCCTCTGATCCATAAATCTAAATCTACCACTTTAGTCATACTTGTATTCTCTGTATTACTAC